AGGATGTAATGTAATTATATTAAAAAATTAATACAATTTTTAATTACAATCTATTCTATAATGTTATCAAATTTTATTTGACATTTTATTTTTTTTAATAATTAAAATTCTTAAACTTAAATTTTTTTCACTTTAAAAAAATTAAAAAGTTTTAAGAATTAAACATAGTTTTAAATTTTTTGAAAAAGATTTATATATTTTGAAAAACATCAAAATAATTTTTAATTCTTAAAATTGTGAAAAAATTTAAAAAAATAAAAAACATTTTTAATTATTAAAAAATATAGAACACTAAAAAATATAAATAATTTTTATTTTTAAGAAATTATAAATGATTAGAGTATTCATAAAATAAAAAATATATTTAATATTTTTGAAAAAAAGAAGATATTCTTTTTTATGCTCATAGTTTTTTAAAATTATAAAAATGATTTCTGCTTTGTAATTTTTAATAAATTTTAAAAATATTTTTTTAATTTTTTACCTTCAATTTTTTATTAAAAAATTCCTTTAATTTTGTATATTTTTGGTTTTTTCTAAAAATAATTATTTCCATTTTTAATGTTTTAGGAATTTTACAAATAATAATAATAACAATATATTTTAAAATTTTAAAAATTTCTAACAAATAAAAAGTTATTTTTAAATTAATATTAACATGGATTTGTCCAATGCTTGGTTATTTGTTAAAAATTTATTTAAGAGACGTTATCATATAAAAATTTATAATAAAAAATACTAGTATATTAAATTTACATTTAATATATAAGAAAAATTTTGAAAATTAATATTACATTCTCAATAAAATTTTTATAAACCAAACACAATGTTATCTTTCAAGCATTTTAATCATGCTTTCTTTAATATACAAAATTTTGCAATATTATCTTACTAGTAATGACATTTTTTACAATTACATTACTTATAATATGATTACATTGTAAAGTACTAAATGCTACCTATTTTCACTCTTAATATCGCCTTAGCATCGTTTTAATATCATGTTAAATTGTCAATTCAAAACTTTTATATACATTATTATAGTATTCATTAACATCATATCATTTTAGTTAATATTACATCAATTTAATTAAATATTAAACTAGTAATTTTAATAAAATTTTTCAACAATTAATATTAATAAATCCAATATTTTAATAGAATACAAAATTTGACAATAATAAAAAAAGCATTAATTAAAAGAAAATTAAGTAATATTTTATTTCCATAACAGAATTTACTTTTTATACATATAAAAATATTTTTATTATCTCAATAATAAATAATTAAGTAGATGGAAAGGATAAAGCTTGGGCTTTAGCTTTAAAAAAAAATCGGTCTGCTTAACCCTACCATGTTCTGTAGATAGCTTCGTGGTATAACCAGTAATTAATTTACCAAACCCAATAAATGCAGCCTTTGAAAACTTTCACCTAGCATGGCTTTCTTTTCTCTAAGTACACGATTTAAGTAATGGTTTTTTAGGTCAAATTCGTGAATTTATTTATTAAAATATTTAAATCAAAATTAAATTTAAAAATCCAAATCAATAGATTAAAAAATTTTCTTACATAAATCAAGTATATAAAAGTTTAAGTAATCTAATGCTTTAATACTCTTTCAAATAGACATCTTTATTAAAAGTTAATGACAATTTTAACCATTTCATAAATATTGATAAAAATTTTATCTGTAAATATAATTTTTAATTAACTTTTTTATATATTATTAATTTTTCTCATCAAAGATCAATTTATCGGTTTTAATTTTTAAATTTTATTTAATCATTTTTAAAGGTAACCTCACAAACTTGATTTAAAAAAAATATTAATTAAGGTTTGCGTGTATATATATATAAGGCTGAATGAGTGGTTATTGGGTTCCTAGAATTTTGTGTTTTTCATAATATTGTTGAATTGAAGTTTTTTTCTTTATGAGATTGATTTTGTTTTGTGTATCTAAGATCACTATTAATGAAAGATCATTGATGAAATTTAAATAAGGTGGGGACAAATAAAGTTACCAAATTGTAGGTATTTATTTAATGCTACTAAATACTATTGTGAATTCGTATTACTTAAACCATCTTCGTGGCTTGAAGATGGGTTAACTCCCACAAACTCGAGTTGGAAAGCGATTTTATTAACGTTGTTCTGTGGGTTAATTATCCACAACAAGTCTCTTGGTGTCTCCGAATATGGATTATGCAAATCGAGAATATGAAGAGGAAAATTACTAATTGATCAATTCACCACGTTAATAGAGAAGTTAAGGACAGAATTAGTTAATTTTTGTTGAGGGGCAAAAAGGAGGAAGAGGAATAGAGTTAAAAATTTTTAAAACTAATGCCGTTAACCTTTCATATTTTTGTTTTATTTTTATTTAAATTTAAAATATTAAATATAAAATTGTAATGTATAAAATATAAATAATTAAATACGACATATAAAATTTTATATAATAATTAAATATATAAATAGTCAAATAATATAAATAAAAAGGAGAAAAAGATAAAAGAAAATTTTAATTTTTCTCAATTTCACATAATGATGGTTAATGGCTCCTGTCCAGCTCATAAGCTCATAAATTTCTTTTAAAGAATGAAGTATATTTTAGTGGTGAGTTATAGATAAGGGAGTAAATAAAAATAAAAAGATAAAATCGAAAAAAAAGGAAGAGAGAGAAAGAAGTATGAAAAAATTTAAGAATTAAGATAAAATTCGATAAGATTGGTGGAGAATATTTTATTATTTTTTATTTATATTAATTATTAAATAAATTTTTTTTTTGAGAGGAGTGTTTTTTCTTATACAAATCAAGAGACTTAAGAGATATCCATTAATTCCATCTTTGCCAATCAAGCACATAGGACCAGCATCATTGTCCACTTCAATACAAACAATTCCACTAACATAACCTTCAAATAAATATACACAGAAGAAGAAAGAATTAAATCTTAGGGTCAGAAAATGTTAGAAGAAAAATGTGTTTTTTGTATCAACTAGGTGTATGATTTTGATCTTGAGCCAAAAGACCATTGAGAAGCGTGCGCTCTGTATCTGCATTCCCTACCAACAATCTTTCTTCATGTCGCTGACCTCTTACACGAGTTGATTGGAATTCCACAGTAGCTAAATCCTCGCTTTCGTTATATAATAAATAATATTTAAAAAAAAAAAATAGGGGGCGAGGCCTCCTCAAGACTACACTGCCCTCCGCCCCGGAGAGAAGCTAACCAGAGGACTGGTTACAAATGGCCATGCTCTGCCTTTGTTTACACAGGGAATATTGTCAGGGTTCTTTTTGTAAACCCCACTAATGAAAACTTGGGCTCTTAGAAAGTATTCATGTTGCTTTTAACTCCTAACTGGCCTAATTACCAGCTAAGCAAGTTGCCAAGTTAATGAAGGCTTTTAATTTTGAGGCTTAAATGACGGACCCTTGATTGTGGCTTTTATGTGTTTGCCACCCCACCCTACAAAACCATCGCTTTCTTGGTCCGCACCTCACCTAGCAAAGACAGCAAATTATAGAGTGGATCTTAAAAAATAATAACGAACAATTCCGCTGAAACAAAAGGTTGTTCTACTTTCGTTTCTTGAGATATTTATGTCTACGTCTATTTCCCATTAAAACTTTAATTTTAGTTATCATTAGGATATATAATAACTTAATCTCTTTCAAAACTCTATTTTTAGTTAGTTGATACGCACCATTTTACATTGGTTACATTTAACTATTAAAAAATAAAATATGTAATAACCCAAACTCTCTCAAAACCCTATTTTTTGTTAGTTGGTAGACATCTCTTTATATTAATTACATTTAACATTAAAAAATGAAGAGAGTAATAAATAATAAAATAAAAAAAATTATCTTTAAAAGATACTCATATATAAAAAGTCAAAAAAATCTAAAACATCAACTATAAGAAGAAAATAATATAATCCCAAACATTAAGGTTACGCCCAAAAACCCAACCAATCACAAATCAATCCCATTAGACCTCAAGCTCACACTCCAACTACCACATGTCAAACCAAGAACCCGGTGAAGTGTCAAGCCAAAATTTTTTTAAAACTTTCTTTAAATATAACAAATCCTTTTTGTTGTAATTTTCAATTCCCAATTTGCTGTAAGAAACTTACTTGAGATTATTTATTAGCTTAAATAGAGTGCCTGCATGCATGTAAGTGTTTTTTTTATAGTCAAGTTGATTTAGTGATAAAAAATGTATGCATGTGTTTATTCTTTATTTTTTATAATTAAGTTGATTTAGTGACCTGAAACTGTATAATTAGTTATGTTCTTGTTTGCTCATGATGAAGCAAAAGAGTGTAATTGTACAAAATAAATTACTTCTTTTTACAACTTATTTTTCTCTTAACTTTTTTTCTCTTGTTTGTGTCCATAAATTTTAGATGATAAGATAGACTTGAAATGGGGTATTCCAGTAATATCAAATTTTATGTGTGCTTAAGAAGAAACATAATTTTTAGCTGTTGAAAACAATCACTATGAAAATTTTATAAGATTCACGTACCTTTTTATGCTATCATAAAAAAAAATAAAAATTGACATGAAAGTAAGCAAGCTTATGTTTTGGATTTAGTTGATTTTCATTTATTTAGTTGTAAAGAATTGAAACCAGTTTCAATTCTTAATGAATCAGTAGCATTCTACTTGTTTCAGTTTACACTTCATTACTCATCGCGTGGCCTCAGTTATTAAGTTTATTAGTGCATGATCAATGCACTGTGATCACCATTAAAAATCTGAAAATATTAAGTGTTGCATTTGGTTCATCTGATGTTGTGGTAGGCTTGATTACCTTTGGAATGCTAAGTGTTGGCAAGCTTGATTGCTCTGGATTCTAGAATGTCAAGTGTTAATGCATTGGCAGCATGTTCTGTTGAAACTTCTAAATTTGGTGCCTTCGATCCAGCTTATACAATGACGGTAGCTGGTGATGCAGTGGCAATTGGTGTTGGGGAATGTCCTTAATAAAAGTTCCATGGCCATGGGGAAGTCATTATTCATTATTGAATGTGCAAAGTTATCACAAGTATTGCTTACAAGGAGGTTCATATATTTTTTTGGTAAAGAGAAACAAGATACACATCTTCATTGGTACTGCTCTGAACTAGGTAGTCGTGCAGCGGGTATGGCGACTAGTGGTTCCATTTTCTTCAATACAATTTCGAATTTCTCCTGTATATCAGGCTCTGTTCCATCCGGTAATTTCCATTCAAAAGAATGCAACAGCGTAGCTAAGACGTGCGTCACCATTTTTTCTGCCAAAGGAATTCCAACACAAATTCTCCTCCCAAATCCAAACGGAATAAAGTGGAAATTGTTCCCTAGATAGTTGCCTTTCTCAGCGTCTTTCAAGAATCTCTCAGGTTCAAATCGAAGAGGACATTCCCAAAGCTCAGGGTCCCTCTGCATCGCCCATGCATTAAATAAAACTCTGGAATCTTTGGGGATGGTATATCCATCCACAGTACAAGTCGTGTTGGGACTACGAGGTACTAGCAAGGGAAGAGGCGGATGAAATCGAAGGGTCTCCTTTATTGCTGCATCTAAATAAACAAGTTGAGGAAGATGAGACTCCTCTACAATGTTTCCGGCTCCAACCACTCTGTCCAATTCCTCAACGACTCTTCTTAGTTCATCTGGATGCCGTAGTAACTCTGTCATCGCCCACTCTATAGTAGTAGATGTTGTATCTGTACCGCCGACAACCATATCCTAGAGATAAAAAATGTTCAAAATTATTTAGCATCTGATCATCACAAATATCAAAATTAATTTTATATGTGTAAAAAAAAATCCAAGTTGAAATGAACCAAAAAAGAACACATGGTAAATAGTATCCAGAACAACAAAAATCAAAATGACATCCACAATATATTACAAAAAAGATTTATAATAATACTTCGACCAAAAAAAATACAAATATATAGTATATTTTTGGTAATTATTACAATCACACACTTTGTAAAATGTGCATAGACCACGATCTTGCTTTGTGTAGGACCTTTGTTGGTTCAACAATATATCATATTCAAAGGACAACTAAGATAAAAACAACAACCAACAAGAGGAGCTAAAGTTAAAATAAAAAACAACCACCAGTTGTTTTCGTTGAAGAGTGTAAAGTCTGGATTAGATACATACCAACAGCAAAGCCTTAACTTCATTTATGGATAATGAGGATTTATAATCCCCATGTTGGTTCAACTCCAACAACAGTTGCAGAAAATCCTTGCTTTGTTCCTTGTTCGTGCCCTCTCCGACATCGGGTTGATCAGCCTTTCGTCGGTGTGCTATCACTGATTCCAAAATCTCATCCAACCACGCCAAAGCCTTCTTCATTCTAGATTGATATCCTTGCAAATCGAAGCGGGTAAGAATAGGAAAAAGGTCAGAAATGTTAGGCGCTCCTAACAATTCAACAAACTCTGCCACAACTTGCCTGAACTCAATCCCAAGCCTGCTTCTTTCCTCTCCATGCAGTGAACCACCCCATAGCATGCTTAATATCACATTTAGAATGGTAAGGAACATTTGATCACCAATGTTAACAGGTGAGCCAACCTTCCCATAAATATCTTTCACCATTTCTCGAACCTCTCGTCGACGCAGCGCAGAGCAAACATCAAGGCTTGTATTGGTCATAATTTCACGAACGACAAGCCTACGCAGCTTACGCCATTCGGGGCAATTAGATCTCCATGCCATGTCACATCCACCATACGTGCCGATTATAGCTACCGTTGGAGGGTCACGGTTAGCAAAGATAGCATCGTTGTCCTTGAGGACCTTTTTGGCAACTGAAGCTGAACTTACAACGATGCAGGTCTTGCTTCCGAGCTGAAGTTTGATAATGGGGCCATAGATTTGAGACAGTTTGGAAAAGTATCGATGCAAATCAGGTTGGAGGAAAGGAAGGTTTCCTAGTATAGGCAAGCCTGGAGGACCTGGTGGCAAGGGCGGCACGCTCTTGGTGAATTTCTGAACCCACCATGCATAGCAGACAATGGCTAGCGCGGCTGCCAAAAGAGTTGCTGCCGCTCTGATGAAGGTATGCTCAGCGTTATCATTGCTGCACCATGATAAGTCCCCGCAGGCTAGAACAGCAACCTTACTGGAGAGATTTGGCATGATTGTTGGATTAGTCGCACTTTTTTTTTCTCAAATCGTTTTGTCGCACTTCCATAATGTGTTTATTTGGTAGATATAAAGCCCAAGAAGCAAACTTTTAGGTCCGACGCTTGTGGATATGCTTATCCACCTACGTACATTTATGGCTAACGAAAATCGTGCTATTTATAAGTAGGATTTGTATTTGATATATTGATAATATATATCTTTTTATATATTGTTAGGCCATCAAAATGTAACACTTTATTAACAAGGTAAAATTAAAATCTATTAAAAACTTAAAACTAAATATTAATAATATTTTTAAGAAAATCTTCTTTTGTCCCTTTCCAACTTCTGCTCAATTGTTCTTTTCTTGTTTTCTTATTTATGTCTCAAACTCCATCATCTTCTTCTCCTCTTTTTCTTCCATTAAGATTATATTTGATAAAATTATACAATTTCAAGAACGATGATAATTAAAAGTTTTTACTTTTTCTTTAAACTCTATCATAGTCACTAACTTGTTCCATCTCTTCTGCATCCTGAAAGCATTGGTCTTTTATTTGAAGCTGCAAGTTTTTGTGGAAATGAGATAAAAGAGGAGCTTAAGAGCCAAAGCAAGAAGGATAGCTAGAAAAGTATGCAAGAAAATTATGACAGTATAACAATGGCAACATATATAAGAAATTACTTTTAGAGAAGTTTCATCTAATCATGAGCCCTAAATTATGTTGTCTGGCATGCTTCGTTTTATGCTTTACTTAGGAGGAGAAGAAGGAAATAATTGGGTTTTTAGTGCTGTTCAGTTGGAAGCTGAAGCTGGAGGTATAGGATAGACAGTGCTGATACCTTCTGAAATGTCTCTCCATAGTTTCCTTTATGTGCTTGCATGTTCTATGCATATCTTATAACATAACGTATCTCCAGAGGGTGATGATTTAGAATGGCATTTCCCCCAGAATCCAACAAACTCAATTGGTCATCCAAATGGTGATCATGTCCTAGGTCACACGGTGCTAGAGGTACACCAGTAGATGTTCATTCTACTAGGTGCTGGGAGACATTGTACAGTTCATTCCTATTTGGAAATAAATTAATTTTGTTGGTGTTATCTATTATTTCCTTGTGACTCAACACCAACACTTTGATCATTGAAACTTGTCTAACATAATTTTTATTTTGTGTATATGTTATCAGTTACTGTTATTTTGTTTAATTTTCTTTCAGAGTAGGTTTGCTTTGAAAATCATTAACTCCACAAGAAAACTGGGAAGTGGAACTTACCTTCAATAGGCTCCGGATTTAGCTCAACGCACTAACAGAATATCTGAAACAGAGAATCCACTATCACAGAATAAATACAAAATAAAAGTCAGCACTCACCACCACTAGAGATACAAACAGCAGAAAATAATCTAAGCATTAGAGGAGGAAAATACTGAAATATATGCACATTAGCTAGCACCTGAAGGAATAAGCCTCATCTCTGTGACCTTGGATAAACCTAAAACCTCATTACATTCTGAATCTGAGTCCTCAGACTCATCTTCATCAGCTTCAGTTTCAATCTTCAGGAAAAAAACATTGTTAATCAAGAGAGAGAGAGAGAGCTTCCAATAAATTTTAAAAAATGTACTACAAGCACTTATTGGGAAGCAAAAGCATTGCATATCTTCAAACCAAATTTACAGAGGAATGAAAATAATTTCTATAATACATGTTAAATTTACAAATGTTAAACTTTATTCATAATAAAAAATTGGTCATCCTAAATCAGATTATTGTTTAGAGCTTTTCCATTCATTCCTGAATTATTAGTTTTGTTCCGTCCCACATTAAATTCAACACATTTAACTATCATTTTAGTTTAAACTAAGAAAGAACTAGCAAGGTTTGACTCCACTCCCTTGACCATTTAACTGGCTAAGTTGTACACATCTACCAATCCATAAAAATGCATAACAAAGATTTCCTTTTCCTCAGGTTGCTTCTCCCTAATCAACGAAAGTTAAACTAGCATCCTAGCAGTCAATCAGCTATAAAGAAACAAAATAATATCGAATAAAAAAAAGACTGCAAAATACAAATTTAATTTACAGTTTTTATCAACTGAAAGCAAAGCGTGAGTTAGTAACTAAAATCATTACAAGACCTGAGCAAAAACTTCATAAGAGCAATGGAAGTATGTTTTCTAAGTAAACAACGGAGAAATAAGAAAAGCATTGGGAAACCTCAGTGTAAATACAGGGAGAAGGGCAGGCTTCTGGAACCCTTGAAACAGTTGCAGCAACAGAGACATGAAACCAATGGCATAGCCATTTTACACTGTCCACATCACTCAGCCAAACCACTTGCCTGTAATGACCCAAAAATGAAAATAAAAGAAAGAACCAGAAATCCTCAGCAATGATTCCAGTAATTGTAGAGAGTTCTGATATAGAGAGTGCAAGGGGATTCCAGGGCATGGTTACCAAGTGTGATGGGGATGCGAACAAGCTCCTCACCATTATCTGAATCGAGAACAGGCTCTCTGCCACCGTTGCCGGCTCTTGCCATGAACTGCCTAAGCCCTATCACCATTCTCTCTTCTTGGGTCTGGGTTTTTCCAGGGTTTTCTCCTTAGAGGGTGTAGGTTTATTGCTGCATCCAAATAGACAAGTTGAGGAAGATGAGACTCTTCTACAATGTTTTGGTCTCCAATCACTCTAGCCAGTTCTTCAACTCTTCCCACATTATCCAGATGTACTAGTAACCCTGTCATTGTCCACTTTACGGTAATGGACACTGTATTTGTATCAAAACAATTGTATCTTAGATATCATAAATGTTTAAAAATATTTAACATGGCATTGCAGAGTGCAAATTAATTTTACATGTAACCAAAAAAGATGAAAATTAATTATAATTAATTCAGAACTGAAAAGAAGATACAATTAATTAGTATTAAGAACAATTCGAAAGTAATTTTTTTTTAAAGATACTACAAATCTAATAACATCTACTAGCTAATGTCATAATTAGTAGAGTAATGATATTCTTTGTTGGCTCAACAAGTATATCATACATAGAGGACAAAACTAAGATAATAAAATACAACTGATAAGAGAAGAAGCAATGGTTCGCTAGCTAACAGTAAAATTTTAGCCTTATATACATACCAGCAGCATAGCCTTTTTTTTTTTTTTGAAAAGTCCAGCAGCATAGCCTTAAAACTTCGTTATTGGATAATGAGGCTTTATAGTTTCTTTGTTGGTTCAGCACCAACAACTGCAGCAAATCCTTGCTTTCTTCCTTCCTCTTGCCCTCTCCGACATCAGGTTGATCAACCTTTCATGAGTGTCCTATCACTCATTAAAAATCTCATCAAACCACATCAAAGCCTTCTTCATTCTGGATTGATGTCGTAGCAAATCGAAGCGAGTAAGAAAAGGAAAAAGATCAGAATTTTAGGAACTCCTAACAATTCAACAAACTCTACCACAACTTGCCTGAACTCATTCCCAAGCCTGCTTCTTTCCTCTCCATCCATTGAACCACCCCATACCATGCTGAATATTATATTTAGAATGGTAAGGAACATTGCTCACCAATGCTCACGCAATAGGGCCCTTACTGAAAAGAAGGATACATCCCTTTTTCTATATTTGATTATCCTGACTTGATTAATATATATATATATATATATATATAATATAATACAATGCTAAAATTTTATTGATCAAAATAAAGCATTATATGTTAAAAAAAATTATCAAGGTTATTTCCAAATGACCATTCTCAATACTATTCTTAAAAAATCCACTAAAATTCTTAGAATTGAATTCTGCAGGCCTTACTCCCAATACTTTTAGAGCCCAAATATCTGCTAGCAGACTATTTGTTCAACCTATGTTAATCATGGAATCAAAAATCCATGGTTGCCTTCCAATCTCTAACAAGTCCGCCTGCATTTGCAATTATTGTGTGGTTCTTAATGGCCGCATCAGTATTTCATTTATAAACATGAAACAGAGGCTTTTCTCACAAATCTATCCAGGAGTTTGAATTATCGCACTAATATATTCTTCCTAAAGGCTATTGATACATCTCTCCTTGCTCTAACAATAATATGAAAAAGACCAGAAATATCAGTATTTCAACTGTCAAAGAACCGAGGATTGTGTGCTTTCCGAATGTATTACATAGCCATAGAGAAGAAAGAATCATAACTAATGTCATTAGAGTAAAACAACTTACTCATCGTATTAAAATAAATTCAAAAATTAAAAAATACCGAGAAGAAACCATGCACATTAAGAACCTGAGCACGGTGCGCCCATACCTCCTTAGACACCCAACATCTTCTATTAATGTGATCAAGGTCTTCAACTTGAGCGCCACGTCGAGGACAACTTTGCATTGTAGTTAGCTTTCTCCGAAATCGAACCACATTTGCCGAAACATTATCCTGCAAATAAAGCCAAAGAAAAAACAAGTGTCTTTCATGACGCTTAAAACGCCACAACCATTTCCAATCCTCCCTCTCTTCAACATCCCCTACACCACCAGCAATTATTTATAAGTGGAACCTGCTGAGAATGTGCCATTCCTTTCGCCTCAACCCTTGTGATAGTAAAGCACTTACCCAGTTTTGTTTTTTGAAAAGCATAATGAATTCCATATAAGAAGGTTAAGATACAAGTTTCATTAAAGTGAATCCCAACAAGGGTCAAACTTCTAAGTAGGTTACTCATTCCTGCCAGAATAAACATACAAATAGTCCAAAAAGAACAAGCAAATAGCTAACCACCCCTTCAGCGGAGGTCAAAATCACACCTTGGGCGGTGCTTGACATCCAATGAGGTGAATCATCAAATACCTGTTGCGGATAAACAGAGCTTGACAACAGCTATTAGAAAATTAACCCACCACAACACAACACAACAAGCTTAAGACTGAAATCACCAAAGCTCTCCGCTGGAAGCACAAAACAGAGGCTGAAAAAATTCCGCATCATAGTTACCAGCAGCCTTGTCACCACCTCGACTCCCATTTAACCAGTAGACAACAAAGCCACACTATATTCCAATAAGTCAAAAACCACTGAAAATGTTGACCAATAGTAACAAGAGAAAGTTAAGACCAGAAGTTCCAAAACCAGGTTATACCCTGTTGCCAGGAAGCACAAGTCAACCCAAACAGACACCAAGGAAGAATGAGGAAGCCATACCAGACGAAAAAGAGGTTCTGCCGAGGCCATTGGAACCAACACCATCTACAAAGAGAAAAACCAGTCATGTGATAAGATAAAAACAGGGTGAGCCTGAGCTCCCCACCAGATGCCCTTTACGAAGGCCAGGGGTATACCGTTGCAAAATAATCACAGAATACAAGCATCTCTATGCTATACAAAAGACCATCCCCTATACACACTTTACAGCCTAAAAAGCACTCCCAAAACAGCAAACGGATCCACACTTTGTAATAAGGAGGTAAACACAGCAGACCAAACATAGATCAACAAAAACAAAAACCTCGACTCCAGCCTAGAGCATGCTTGATTCAACGATCACAGTTCATTGAAAACTTTTCATACCTGGGCAGCCATAGTTATCCTGGAATAGACTCATCAGTTAAGGTTCCTCTCCGTTCAGAAATTCTATTTAGATGATCCTCCCACACATTAATCAATTCAACTTCCCTACCTATACCTGATTTGGCAAGACTGTCAGCTTGATGGTTTGCCTCCCTCCTGACATGTTTAATTTCCCACTTTGTCACTCTTTTCTTTAACATCTCAACATGGGGTATCCGCTTTCTCATCCTCGATGAGGCCAGGTTAGGTTCCTGTACCCATTTAACAGCATTTGAGGAGTCGCTTTGGACCACCAATGAATGGGAACAGCTCCAATTGGATGCGGAGAACAGCAGAAACGCCCGTCTTATGACTAGGACTTCAGCAAGATTAGAGTCTCCCCTACCTATAGACTTGGAGAACATCATTTTGGACTCTCCTGTGGAGTTCCTAAGGATCCCGCCGATACCAGCTTCCCCGGGCACCCACTCGCAGCTCCGTCCACGTTACACTTCCTCGTACCTTCTTCCGGATTCTCCCATACTATCTCGGGTCTTGTCTTTTTAGCAATTCTCATAACAGTTCCAAGGCTTGGCTCATTGAAGGTGTCCAAGGTTCTGCCATACTCTGTCGGCCATTTGGCCTTTGCCCATGTAACGACACGTAGCTTCGTTGATTTGTACGTTTGATCACAATCCCACACAATGTCGTTTCTTGCAAGCACAAAGACCAAATTACCGTAAAAAATGCCATCTTCCACACTTGGATTTCGCCTTTAGTAAAAACTACCGCATTCCATTTCAATGCAGTTAAGACAGAGATGGTTGATGGTCTCTAATACCTGATGGCAAAGGGGACAAAACGCTGTACTGATGCTCATAAGCCTTCGTCTCACCAGTTCTTTCTTAACAGCCGCCCTGCCATGGAGGAGTTGCCGCACAAAAGCTTCAACTTTAAGTGGAGCTAAGTTAGTCCACACCTTTCTTCAAATGTTGTTACCAGCGTTGCCATTTTCAATTTGGGTTCTGCAAAAATCTCACTGTGTACTCACGCGAAGGGGTTCATTTCCATGCAACAGTACCAGAAATTTCGGCACACAATTGATATTCATTGACCGTGGATAGAAACTGCTGCCACTGATCTTCCTCCTATCCAAAAACCCTTCTACGCAGTATTATCTCCCATTTTCATTCGTTATCTTGCCAAAATCTGAACTCTCGTATCTTCCCCGTCTTATTAATGGCCAGAGCGAACACTTTGGGAACGCTTCCTTCAATACCACTTTTATGATCAGAATAAAATACTAATGCCATCACCGACCAGTCCACATAAATCGTTGGACACCTGCAAGAAATAATGGTTAGTCAAGGAAAGAGGGGAAATAATATTTTTTTCATGTAGTACATACTCTCCTGTTTCTCTCAACCGACGGTAGTAGGCAGTCGGGGTCATCATCGTTCTTTTCCACTATTATCTCTCTACAAGTTGTATTTTTCTTTTCCGTACCTTCAGAGCCACTTTGCGAGAAGGGTTTTATTTTAACACTCGAGTCAGCAGCACCGAGAACCCATTCTCTTTGTACTTGGTCACTTTATTCCATCTCACTTTATTCTTTTTATCTTCCTTCCATTTCTAAGAAATCGCCTTTGAATCTTGTCAAGTTCTTTTTTACTCCTTTCTACATTTGAAAAAGTGACGTGTAAAATATGAATAAATTAACCATTACGGATTTGAGTAGAGTCACTCTTCCCCCTAATGACAGCATCTTTGATTTCCACCCCACCAACCCGTCTTTAAACTCTGTGATGATGGGTCTGCAAATACTCATGGAGTGCTCACTAGCTCCTAACGATAGCCCAAGCTAGACATTTGGCAGAGATCCCATTTTGCAATCAGTACAATCAGCCCACTTCGCAACCTCTTGCTCATCCACCCCTGAAGAGAGTTGGAAACACATGAGCAGGCTTCTAACATTGGTTAAATCGTTGAGTCTTGGTTGACAAAACACCATAATATCGTTCGCAATTACCATGGAGTACCGCGTTCAGATAACCCTAGCTTCAAGTACGCTTACTGTATGTGTGGATGATTAGAAATAGAGATTATTGGGTTAAAGTCCATTACTTTACTGATAAATTGGAGGTATTATATTAATAGACACGTGCAACTGAAAATGATCTTTGTGATTGAGTTGGGTCGGGGGAAAGATCAATGGACTTCATCATGGACCATTTACATGTTAATTAGTGGTACTGCTCTGAAGTTTGTTAACTGTTGGAATGCCAGCTGCACTCACACTCAAAATAGAACAAAAAAACCTGCAAACAGAGGTAATGAAGAGAGGAAGAGTTTCTGCAACACACTCTATGCACTCAAAGTGAATCAAAAACAGCAGAGAGAGATGAAGCGGTAGAGAGTTTTCTGCAACAATTAGGAAACACAGCTCACTGTTTTCATATCAGTAGCAAATATATATATATATAAGGCAGAGTTCAACAGTCATCACTTACTTCAACTGCTACTAAGTGCATCGTCTCATAAATAATAATAAACACAAAAAATCTCGATTAAACCATGTCCCATATGATACAAACCAAAGCATCGGGCATAAACCAGAAATCTAACTCAGCAGAAAGATATAAGACATTGGCTGAAAGAAAAATACGGCAGTTGATATTTAGTCTAGCAGCAGATTCAGACATAGACTTCAACAATAACTGTAATTTAGCAGCAGAAAACAAAATATAATACTTCTACCCCTTTTGGATGCACCTTTTAAGCGTCAAGCCTGCATGCCGAGGCCGAGTAGTAGATAAAGCATGGGGAATTTATTCATTACTCAAAGATACCAAGTGGCGGGGTGCTTGCCTTCTTTTAAGGAACAAAGGCACGTTTACATGCACGTTCGTATAAGATACATGTTACTGGTATTGCTCCGAATTACAAAGTCGTGCAGCAGGAATGGCAGCAAGTGGTTCCATTTTCTTCAAAAGTAGTCCAAATTTCTCCCGTGTATCAAGCTTTGTTCCCTCCGCTAATTTCCATTCAAAAGAATGCACCAGGGCAGCTAAGACGTGTGTTATCATTCTTTCCGCCATAGGAATTCCAGCACAAATTCTCCTCCCTGACCCAAATGGTAAAAAGTAGAAACTGTTTCCTAGATAGTTACCTTTCTCAGTGTCTTTCAGGAATCTGTCAGGTTCAAATTGAAGTGGATCTTCCCAAAACTCAGGGTCTCTTTGTATCGAACATGCATTAATTAAAATTCTAGAATCTTTGGGAATGGTATAACCAGCCACAGTGCAAGTCATGCTGGGCTTGCGAGGCAATAGTAACGGAGCAGGTGGATACAATCGAAGTGTTTCCTTTACAACTGCTTCCAAATAGAGCAGTCGAGGAAGATGAGACTCTTCCACAATGTTTTGGTTTCCAACTACGGCCTCCAATTCCTCAAGGACTCTTCTCATTTTATTGGGATGTCGCAGTAACTCTGTCATTGCCCACTCTACAGTGGTAGATGTTGTATCCGTAGCACCGACAATCAAATCCTGCTCACAAATTGAGGGATAGAAAATTTTGTAAATTTTCAAAATCATTTAGGATGTAATTTCAAAGATTAAAATCAACTCTCCACGCAACGAATGCATACCAAAAGGAAGATATGATTAACATCCAGAACAATTCAAAAGTCTGTAAATCAAGTGACGTCCTCAATACTACATATTTACAAATTTAAACTGCATGGACCTAATCCTGCATTGGATCCTTAGCATAATCATATGATTGTCAAAGACCTAGAACATTTAATACACAAAAGAACAAAATTGAAAATCAGAAACGTAACCAAACAGAACATACACCACAAAACGAGGGTAGATTTAATTAATTTTTGTTTTAGAATCCAAACCTATGTAGAAGAGATTATCATAGGGAGGGGAAAATAGAATATCAAAAGTTCATTTACGTACCAGCAGTAAAGCCTTTACTTCGTTCATGGATAATGAGGTTTCATCATCTCCTCGTTGATTCAGCTCCAACAACTGCTGCAGAAAATCCTTGCCTTCTTCCTTTTTCTTTCCCTCTCCATCGGCCTGTTCAACCTTTGTTCGGTGTACTATCAATGATTCAAAAAACTCATAAAACCACGATAAATTCTTCTTTGTTTTGGATTGAATTCCTTGTAAATCGAATGGGGTAAGAACAGGGAAAAGATCTGAAACATTAGGTGTTCCAAACAATTCTACAAATTCCACCAATCGTCGCCTAAACTCAATCCCAAGCGTGCTTCTTTCCTCTCCATTCAAGGAATCACCCCACAGCATGCTTATCATAACATTTAGACTGGTTAGGAACATTTGTTCACCGATGTTAACGGGTGAGCCAACCTTTCCGTAAATATCCTTCACCATTTGTCGAATCTCTCGTCGACGAAGCGTGTAGCAAGCATCAAGGCTTCTTTTGCTCATAATTTCACGGACAACAAGCTTACGCAGCTTCTGCAATTCTGGCCCATTAGGTCTCCACACCATGTCAAGTCCACCATACATGCCGACTATGGCTCCTGCAGGTGTGTCATGGTTAGCGAAGATAGCATCATGGTCTTTGAGGGCCTCTTTTGCAACTGAAGGTGAACTTATTACTATGCAGATCTTGCTTCCGAGCTGGAGTTTGATAATGGGGCCATAGATTTGAGAGAGTTTGACAATGTATTGATAAAAATCAGGCTGGATGAAAGGAAGGTTTCCTAGTATAGGCAAGCCTGGTGGACCAGGTGGCAGGGGCGGCTTGCTTTTGGTGAATTTGTTAGTCCACCATGCATAACAGAAGGTGGCTAGTGCGGCTGCCAAAACAATTGCTGCCGCTCCGATGATGTTATACGTAGCGAGTCCATCGCAGCACCATGACCAGCCCTCGCGGTTAAGAACTGCAACCTTATCATAGAAGTCCGGCATCATTAAGGTAAACGTCTGAAGATAGAAAGCAGAAGAAACGGACTTATGTATAGCTCAACTGAACATGTTTTTCCCAGGCTTAGCAAGGAAAATGTTATTCAATCTAGAGGAAAAGTCAGAATCTACTTTTCTTACATGTCTCTTTCACATTGTTGGCATATCTTCCTCAAATCCATCATCACAACAGTGTGCTGATTGTATTTTATTGACTTGTTTCTTCAAACCTTCATCGAAACAACTAAAGCTTTAATTACATGAGATGACTTTTCTCTTTCTTAGCTCTACTACATGATGAGATAATTGTAGGTAACACATTTTTGGGTCTTTTAGATGCTAATCTGATTCCAACTTACAACCCTGATGAGATTTTAATCGTCTTCTACTACTTCAGAGATTAAGGTATATTCTCCACCACATGATACTAATGCCAATTGATGATAGAAAAGCAAGACTTGTTGATGATGTTTGACGAGACATTCACCCGTGGAAAAAATATTTACACGTCATCATAACCAAAATTTCCAATAGCCAGAACCACATTTTTCAACAAATTTATCTTTTATGATCATTTAGAAAATCTTTCTTACACTCAATCGTGGATAATGTGCAGGAAGAAAGGAATAGATATAAGCGATTGACCCTGATTTTTCGCCATCAATGATGTCACGTGAGGTGGAGCTAAAACCGTTTGACACCATCGCATACGCTGTGCTGTATATATTCGCAAGCCGGAGTACGATAGTGAAGTTAGATACTATTCTCTATAAAATTATTCTATGACGTGATATTGTATAAAAAATAATAAATATAAAATATTATTTTAAGTAAAATAATTAAAATAAATTAAATACTACTTTATGTAGAATAATTAAAATAAATAAAATATTATTTCATATAGATACTAATTGAAATAATCTAAAATAAGTAGTAGAATTTATAAGTTATTTTTACTTTGAGATATTTCAAAGAGTTTGACTTGCTAATTTAGATATAAAGAAAAAAAAAAATTTAATATTTTTTTTAAATACAAATATTTTTTCTTCTTACTTTTTTTTCATTTACCTGTACACATACATTTTATTCTTTTATACATGTTCATATATATATTTTTTATTTATTTTCATATATCTTTTCTTAAATATCTCTTCCATTTACCTTTTACTCAAGAATAAATTTTATTATATTATTGACGATTATAAAATCTATTATTTTAATAATCACATAATAAATTTTGAATCATTATTTAGCATTAAAACTCATAAAACAATCACCTAATATTAAAGTCCTTACTAATATTATTTATTATATACATTAAAACTTATTCTTGAGTAATTACCATTTCTTACTTTGTGTATAGAGTCTTTATAATTCATTTGGAACTTCTATCCGAAGCTTAAACATTCTCAACTAGAATTTCTCTTTCTAAATTCTCTTTTTAGCACTCTTTTACTCAATGTTTGTCAATTCTATTCTATCTGCTCGTCAGTTTTCTACTTATCCTCAATTATTACTGTATTATTTATCTTTTCTCTTTCATCTGTCATAATACTCAGTACTTAAAAAACTGTTCTAATTTATCTCTTGACTGCTTTCAAAACATGTCTTTAATTTATTTCTAACTTTTTTCTTTTTATCACAACAACCCTATAGTCTATCACTTATTTCAACAGCTATTAAGGACATTGTGTTTAAAATAACAATAAACACAAAAAATGTCAACAAAACATGTCACATATAGTACAAACAAAAGCAATGGACATAAAGCAGAAACTAACTCAGCAGAAAGATACGAGACTCTGGCTAAAAAAACTAATACAGCAGCCTATATTTAGTCTACCAGCAGACTCATCCATATACTTCAACAATAAGTGTAATCTAGCAACAGAGAACAAAGTATAGTACTTCTGTCATCCTCGGATGCACCTAGCAGGCGTCATGCTTACATGCGGAGGCGGAGTAATAGATAAAGCATGGGGAATTTAAGTCATTATTCATTACTCAAAGATGCCATGTGGTGGGAGCGCTTGCCATCTTTTATGGAAAAAAGGGCAAGACCCTTTACATACACGTTCATATAAGACACATATGTTACTGGTACTGCCCCGAATTCGAAAGTCGTGCAGCGGGTATGGCAACAAGAGGTTCCATTTTCTTCAAAGTTATTCCAAATTTTTCCTGTACATCAAGCTTAGTTCCTTCCTGTAATTTCCATTTGAAAGAATGCACCTGGGCAGCTAAGACATGTTCTATCATTCTTTCCGCCATAGGAATCCCAACACAAATTCTCCTCCCTGACCCAAATGGCAAAAAGTGGAAATTGTTTCTAAGATAATTACCTTTCTCAGTGTCTTTCAAGAATCTGTCAGGTTCAAATTGAAGGGGACCTTCCCAAAACTCAGGATCTCTTTGTATCGAACATGCATTAATAAGAACTCTGGAATCTTTGGGAATGGTGTATCCTGCCACAGTACAGGTCATGTTGGGTTTGTGAGGCAATAGCAACGGAAGAGGGGGATGCATTCGAAGTGTCTCCTTTACGACTGCTTCCAGATAGAGCAGTCGAGAAAGATGAGACTCTTCCACAATGTTTTCGTATCCAACCACTGTCTCCAATTCCTCGAGGACTCTTCTCATTTTATCTGGATGCCGCAGTAATTCTGTCATTGCCCACTCTACTGTAGTAGATGTTGTATCCGTAGCACCGAGAATCATATCCTGCCCCCAAATTAAAGGATGGAGAATTTTTTAAAATTTCAAAACGATTTAAGATGTAATATCCAATATCAAAATTAACTCTCTATTCCAACAAAACCATCAAACCAAAAGGAAAATTTGATTAATATCCAGAACAATTCAAAAGTCTACAAATCAAGTGACATCCTCAATACTACATATTTTCAAATTTGTTAACGTACATGCACCTCAATCTTGCATTGGATCCATATCATAAACCTGCATGTCTAGCATATTTAATACACAAAAGAACAATGAAAATCAGAAACGTAACCAAACAAAACATACACCACGAAACGAGAGGAAAAGTGTGGTGGTACGTTCACTCTCCTTATCACCCTAAAAGAGAAAAAAAAAAACCCCCTTTCAGACATCAGTTACCATATCTCATCACATGATAGATAGTTGAAAAATAATAAAGTATTCATAGAATGGGATTTGGGAGTATAATTCGAGTATCATTAATATAATCAATCGTTTTAAAAAAGAAAAGTCTTCACGGAGTAACAAATGAGTGTACCTATAAAAAAATATATGGGAGAATATGTAATGCAAGGAATACTACCAAGGAACTAGTAGGAGGCATTGAAAAGAAAGTGAGAGCAGACTCGAGTTTGTTATCAGAAGTTTTGGCCTATAAAGAAGGATTGAAGTTGGTAAAAGATTTAGAATTTAAAAATGTAACGTTAAAGACAGATTTAGAAGTTTTTTAAAAGGTATTAAAGCAGAATGGAGGTGTAGCCCGTTCTTGAAGACATCTAAAGCTCAGTTGTGTCAATAAAAGAGCTAATTTGGCGGCTGATTGGGTTGCAACCCAATCAAGAAAGAAAGGGGGTCAGCATTGCAAATTGAGTTTTATTACCCCCATCCTCCCTAGTCTTCATCATCAGTAGAGATGTCTACCAGCTCCTCCTTTATTTTGTTTCATTTTGCCTTTAGGAGTTTGAGTTGCAATATCCTGCTCTCTATGTATGAGTATTTTTTGTTACCCCTTTTAAGAAATTGAGGTTTAAAGTTAAAATCTTGAAACAGAAAAAAAAAAAAAGGAAGAAAGGAGGACAGATTTAATTGATTTTTGTTTTATAATCCAAACCTTGGTGGAGGAAATTATCGTAGAGAGGGGGAAAATGGAATATCAAAAGTTCATTGACATACCAGCAGTAAAGCCTTCACTTCGTTCATGGATAGTAAGGTCTTACCACCTCCACGTTGGTTCAGCTCCAACAACAGCTGCAGAAAATCCTTGCTTTCGTCCTTTTTCTTTCCCTCTCCCTCGGCCTGTTCAACCTTTGTACGGTGTACTGTCACTGATTCAAAAACCTCATAAAACCACAACAAAATCTTCTTCGCCTTGGATTGAATACCTTGTAAATCAAATGCGGTAAGCACGGGAAAAACATCTGAAACATTAGGTGCTCCTACCAATTCTACAAATTCCACCGATCGTCTCCTAAACTCAGTCCCAAGCCTGCTTCTTTCCTCCCCATTCCATATATCACCCCACAGCATGCTCATCATGACATTTAGACTTGTAAGGAACATTTGCTCACCGATGTTAACGGGTAAGCCAACCTTTCCATAAATATCCTTCACCATTTGTCGAACCTCTCGTCGGCAAAGCGTGTAGCAAGCTTCAAGACTTCTGTTAATCATAATTTCGCAAACAACAAGCTTACGCAGCTTGTGCAATTCGGGACCATTACATCTCCACGCGATGTCTTATGGCTCCTGCTGGCACTTCACGGTTAGCGAAGATAGCAACATGGTCTTTGAGTACCTCTTTGGCAACTGAAGGTGAACTTATTACTATGCAGACCTTGCTTCCGAGCTGGAGTTTGATAATGGGGCCATAGATTTGAGAGAGTTTGACAACGTATTGATGAAAATCAGGTTGGATGAAAGGAGGGTTTCCTAGTATAGGCAAGCCTGGGGGACCCGGTGGCAGGGGCGGGTTGCTCTTGGAGAATTTCTTAGCCCACCATGCATAACAGAAAGCCGCTAGTGCGGCTGCCAACATAATTGCTGCCACTCTGATGATGATATACGCAGAAAGTCCATGGCAGCACCATGACAAGCCCCCGCAGGCACGAACTGCAACCTTATCATAGAAGTCAGGCATCATTAAGGTATCTGTCCGAAGATAGAAAGCACAAGAAATGGAACTTATGTAGCTCTTTCGAACATGTTTTTCCCCAGTCTTAGCAAGTAAAACGTAATCCAATCTCGAACATGTTTTTTTTTGTTTTTTTTTTTTCGAAGGGCAAGAACATTTCATTGAATAGGGTAGAGGATTATCCCTTCAGCTGCTAATCCCCTGTTACAAAGAGATCTAAAGGGCTACACAATTCAGCCACGAAAAAGCTACAAATACCCTGTTATAATGGTCCTCAATGCCAACACATTTCAGCCACAAATACACAGGATAAAAAACTAAAGCCTTTTTTTTTTAGCTCCACTACGTGACGAGATAATAGTAGGTAACACATTTTTGGGTCTTTTAGATGCTAATATGAATCCAAGTTACAACCCTAATGAGATTTTAATCGTCATCTACAACTTTTGAGATTAAGGTATATTCAATTTTATCATCAGAAAAATGTTCTCCAAGGCATGATACTAAAACTAGAACTGTTGACACCATGGCATATTTGATTAAAACCAGTATTCTGTAGCTAACATCTATCCATTTAAATTGCACTAAGGGTGAGAGGTTGACAAACGTGTCGCCAACAGAATGTTGCCAAACTCCACTATACTACATACATGAACATATCATAACCAGAGCTTCTATGAGCACTATCTGATACATGAATGACAAAACGAAGAACAAAATAATTTTGAAAAGTTTCTTTAAAAGAAAACAATGTCAACTTGTTCAAGTGACCAAGTACATACAACAAAGTTTGGGCATGGGGCAAAATCAGTTAAAAGCAACACAAGAATTATGTTCACTCTTGCCATATGCTGACTTTCCTGTAACACGACAGTCACATGGGAGCTCACTGATGATGATGATGACTGCTATCGCTAACTTGTTCCATCTCTTCTGCATCCTCAAAGCGTTGATCATTGATTTGAAGCTGCATGTTTTTGTGGAAATGGGAGAAATGAGAAAATGCCTAAGAAGCAAATCAAGAAGGAACACTAGACAGGTATGTCAGAAAAATTGCAAAGTATAACAATGACAACATGGATAAGAAAATCCAATTACAGAAGATCCATCTAATCATAGCCCTAAAATTTGATGTTGACTCAAACAAATAACAGAAGATGTTAAAATTAGATGAGCCACAAATTGTCGAAAAAAGAGAAGCCATCAAAAACATATTTGGCAAATGATTTTCAAAGAAAAATAAACCAAATAACAATAACAGGAAACCTATACACAAAATAAATATCCTGTTAGATAAGTTTCAATTGGCCACAGCTTTAGTGTTGGCTCACAAGGAAATAATAGATACTTGACAAAATTAATAAATAATAGAAATGAGTAATACACGACCTCCCAGCACCTAGAAAAATGAAATTTCACTATCATACCTCAAGCACCGTGCGAGCTAGATCATGATCACTATTTGAATGACCAATTGAGTTTGTTGGATTCTGGGGGAAATGCCATTCCGAATCATCACCCTCTGGAGATACATTAGAGATGTCAAGATCATGCAAGCACATAAAGGAAACTATGGAGAGATTTCAGAAAGTATTAACACTGTCTATCCCATACCTCCAGCTTCATGTTCCAACTGATCAGCACTAAAAACCCAATTTTGTCCTTCTTCTTCTCCTTCTAATGCATAAACCAAAAACATAAATAACCATGCAATCAATAAAGGCAGCATGCCCATACAACAGCAAAAACTTCTCAATTTACAACTCCATAAGATTACTAGGAAATGGAACTCACCTTCAATAGGCTCTGGATTTAACTCAGCACACTCACAGAACATCTGAAACAGAGTGTCCACTATCACATAATAAATGGAAATAAAAGTTAACATCCATTGCCACTACAGATAAAAACAGCAGAAAAAACGATCTAAGCATTAGAAGAGGTAAATTCTGAAATATACGGACATTGGCTAGCATCTGAAGGAATAAGCCTCATCTCAGTGACCTTGGATAAATCTAAAACCTCATTACATTCTGAATCTGAGTCCTCAGACACATCTTCATCAGCTCCAGTTTCAATCTTCAGGCAAAAAACCGTTAATCAGACCCAGTATACACCAAAGGAAGGAAAGGAACATGCGAATAATGGACAAGAAGATCAGGAGCACCAACCACTTAACAGGGAGAGAGAGAGAGAGAGAGAGAGATCTCTCAATAAATGAGAAAAACATGGACTACAAGTACTTGTTGGAAAACAAAAAAATTGCATATCCCCAGTCCAAATGTACAGAGAAACTCACTTAATTAGGAAATGAAAATAGTTATTACAGTACATATTAAACTCACAAACTCTAAACTTTATTCACAATAAAAAATTGGTCATCCTAAATCACATTATTGTTTAGAGCTTTTCCAATCGTTTCTGAATTCTTGGTTTTGTTTCAACCCATGGTTTGAAAAAGGGCACTGAGACTAGATGACAATTATAAACTTATGCTGGTAGCTCCATTCCACATTAAATTCCATACTTTAACTGTCATGTTAACATAAGAAAGAACTGGCAAAATTTGGAGCCACTCCTTGCCCATTTTATTGGCCGAGTTGCACATATCCACCAATCAACCAAAATGCATAATAAAGATTTTCTTTCCCCAGTTTGCTTCTCACCAATCAATGAAAGTTGAACAAGCATCCAAGCAGTTAAACAGCTATAAAGAAACAAAGCGATATTGAATAAAGAGACAGCAAAATACAAATTTTAATTTACAATTTTAATCAACTGAAAGCAAAGCATGAGCACGATTAGTAACTAAAATCATCACAAAACCTAAACAAAACTTAATAAGGGCAAGGGAAGTACGTTTTCTAAGTAAACAAAGGAGAAATAAGAAAAGCACTGGAAAACCTGAGTGTAAATACAAGGAGAATGGTAGGCCTCCGGGTCCCTAGAAACAGCGTGAAGCGACAGAGACAAAAAATCAACGGCGTAGCCCTTTGCGCTGTCCACATCACTCAGCCAAATCACTTGCCTGCAACGACCCAAAAAAGAAAAAATAACCCCAGAAGTCCTAAACTTTAAATGCAACTAAAACTGACGCTGATTATATGCAGCAATTCGAGTAATTGTAGAGAGAGTGAGGGCACTTGGTGGTGATGTAGAGAGTGCCAGGGGATTCCGGGGCACGATTCCCGAGCGCAAGGGAGACGGAAGGCTGGACGTGAACAAGCTCCTCGCCATTATCTGTATCGAGAACGGGCTCTCCGGCTCCGTTGCCAACTCTTGCCACGAACTGCCTAAGCCCTATCACCATTTCCTCTGCTTGGGTCTGGGTTTTTCGAGGGTTCTCTTTAGTGGGTGCGGGTTTATGAATTACGATTGTCGGTTCACCCTAAACAAACCACTACCAGAAGAATAGTGACCATACCAAAGCAACACTAATATGTTAGACTTCAAACATTAATAAGGCATCCATAGTTACCAAAGTCCATGTTAAGTTGTTAAAAGCGGCTATTTTCGTACACAAAGGAACCTCTTCAAACACCCTACCCTCCACGAGGGGAAGGCTTAAAGGGTTACCCCTTATATTCCAAAATTAAAAGATTTCTTTTAATTAAAGGTTTACACAGTAAGGGGAGTCGGCATGCGCAAAGCCTTGCATTTTCATACACTCCCTAATCTGACTAAAGCATCTATAAAAATGACATCGGGCTTGAAGGCTTGGGCCCTTCTCTGAGCTGGATCAAGAAAACTGCAGACTGTACAAATTTTACTTTTGGGTTGATGGACCATGTTCTTTCACCATAGCCGGCCTTTTACAGACCTCGATGCTCCAAAATTAGAGCCTCAAATCCTTATACTTCTTTGACATCCGCCTTTCTCTTTCAAGGGTCAAAACGGTCCACACATAAAAATCAAATAAATGGTGACCCAAGCGCCATTTTCCATCAAGGGAGATTATTACATACAACTTTCGTTCCCCTCCAATCTCTAGTCTCACCTTTTTTGTGATAAATTTTAAGACAAATTAACAGCTTAGATCCTTCTTGTATCATCATTACTCACCCAATAGTATTGTCATATATTAGCATATTAATATCAGGTGAGCCTTTTCCTTATCTCAAATTTAATGGTGTTAACTAACACTTTGAGAAACGTCTAACCTAGAAGAAGAAAATTGCTTTTGCAATAAAACAATCACTTGAAACTTGAATCAACAAATCATTAGAATCTTTGAAACTCCAGTCATTTTAAGTCCGAAGACAATCTAGAAACCGAAAACCCAGACTATAAAATTTAATAGTAAATTTACTTAAATAAAAACATACACATTCGGCTTGCAAATTGTACAACTAGCAAACTCAAGTCCATGGAGTACCGCAGCTACACCAAAGTACGAAAATACCTCAAGATAAAAAAAAAAAAAACAAAGTAAGATACAGGGTAAATAACTCCCGACTTTTAGTATCACTTTAATTTATCTCAGATCTATTAACATTTAAAATAAACACGACACATAAATGTCACTATGATATTCGATCTGAGTAACAAGTGTCTGTAACCAGTAGGATTCTCACCCTGAACAAGCCACAACCAGAGGAATACTGATCATACCAAAGCAAATACTAATATAAGGTAGACACCTATTACTAAAGTCCATGTTGAGTCCTTGAAGAGGCTATTTTTGGACACAAAGAAGCCTCTACAAACACCATACCCTGTTAATGGGCGAAACTAAATAACCCTAACCCCTTCAAGGAGGGTAAGGCTAAACTGCTTTCAGCAATCCCGCTAACAATAACGTAGTAAGGGGGTATACTACGGATTTCAAAATTAAAAAGATTTCTTGCTTCAAATCTTGAATGAAGTACAAAAGAGAAAAAGGAACATTGAGTAGAATCAGCAGAGAAACAAGTTCTAGACTCTTTTCAGACATAACAAAATTTTTAACAGCTATGAATAAAGTCTTAGCTCAGGATATATCTCACTAGAACAAGAACACAATCTAGCTCACTCAGAGCATCCACACCGAAGCAGGATACCCCAAAATTGCACCAACAGACACCCACCCTAAGCAACAAGAGTGCTGGCAGTTGTAGACTCGCTGCAAACCAAGAAGATAAATCAGTATTACGACACAAAGCATTAAAAAAACAAAACTCCAGGCAGAATATACCGAAATAGTTGCACAAAGTGCTTCTATAGTGATGAACATAACAAAGCAAACCAATTCATCAAAAGGAAGCCAAATTAACATATTTCTCTTGCCAGATGCTGACAATATTTTGAAGACAATCGACTGCTATAGCTTACATATTTATATACGACATTGTAAACCAAATTATTTAGTGAAATGATATTTGTCATAATATATTCTAAAACTTCTCTCAGAATCTAAAATTACAAATAGATTTCAAGCAATCTACACATTTAGGTGTTCCATGTATTTACAGATTTTCAAACAAGATTTCCATTTGATTAAAATGATTACATATAACCATGTTTCACATGAATAGCAATTTTGCAACAAAACCCATTTACCCAACTAGACATCAATTGCATTTTTAAGCTCAGAGTGTGAACTTGACAAGATGTAAATTATACTTGGACCATGTAAACTGAACGCAATTAGCTGATGAAATTAGTATATCACCCATTGACATGTTAATAGGAACACAAGCTATCAACAGAGACAGACTTACTATTTCCAGACAGGAGGAAGCTTCTTGGTTTTCTTGTAGTAGCGAGCAAGCCTGTGAATCCTGCTCTCAACAAGAATCAACCTGAACTTGGAATCCTTGTCCTTCCTGTTTCTCTCCAAATGCTTGCGGATGGCAACAGCCTTCTTGATGAGGTGGTACAAATCCTCGGGAATTTCAGGGGCAAGACCTATCCAAACAAAAAAAAATTAACAGCACATAAAAAATAATCCATCACACCTTGTTTAATCTAAAGAATAATTAATGAAAATTTTCCACTTGAAACTTTATGCTAACTGGAAGGAATAAAAGACATTGACCAATCCTATAATCAAACGAAAGAAGAATATATTACCATGAGCCTTAAGGATACGCAAGATCTTGCTTCCAGTAACGCTCTTAACCTGAGCAATGCCATGGGAATCACGAAGAATGACACCAATCTGAGATGGGGTCAAGCCCTTCTTTGCAAACTTGCATATGTTTTCCTCAACCTGAACAAATTAACACTGAATCATAAGAAAATTTCCTGGGCATTTCTGTCAGCAAGGAATCTGAAAAGGGATAAAGGACTCACATCTTGAGAAGAGATCTTGAGCCAGCTTGGTGGGGTTCTCTTATAAGGCAGAGCTGACGCAGAAATACCCTTACTGCAACAAAGCAAAAATGTCAATATGCAGATAAGTACACGTAGAAATATACACATATAGAAAGAGAAAGCGAGGAAGAGAATAGTACCCGCGACTGTGCATGCGACCCATGGTGACGGCTGTGGTGGTGAGACTTCCCTGTTTTAGCTGAGGCTTTTACTGGGCAGTCGGCAACGAGGCGCAAGCTCAAACCCTAGTTTCCTACCAAGCGGTGTTTCTCTTTAGGGTTTTTATATTTTCACACAGTCGCTAATCTGCCCTATGCATTTTTCAAAATGACACTGATATCCTTGGGCTTGGAGTTTTGGGCCCTTCTCTTTGCTGGAACAAGTACGATTTTAATATTTGGGCTGATAGACCATGTTCTTTTACGAAAGCGAGCCTTTTAAAGGCATCGATGCTGTAATAGTTTTTCTTCTCTGACATCCTCCTCTCTCTTTCCAGGGCCCAACAATCCGCACATCAAAATCAAATAATTGCAAGAACTGAACGGGGACCAAAAAGCCATTGTAAATCAAATTCAAACAAGGGAAATTATTACACACAACTTTCATCCCTCTTTAAAGCAGACATAATAAAATAAACTAGCATAATGTAATATTATTGAATAGGACTAAAGTCTAAAAATGTCGTAATAAAAAGGGTTTATCCAATAATATTTCCGGACATTAGGTATATAATCATATTGGGATGCATTAAAAGTTTTTCAAACATGGTACTAATTAAGTTAAAGCTTAGTTCATGGCTGCCGGTACTTCCATGAATACAATAAAAGCCAAAGGTGGTTGCCAGCTTCTAGAGAAATAATCATGTCTAACTTGATCATATTTACCGCTAAGAAGAATGTCTCATTTGATCATATCATGTCTCAACCTAATTAATCCTCCTTTTTTCAGTTAGTATATTGGTCTCAACCTCTTCTTCCGTCTATATGCTAACCGAAGCAAACAGAATGACTGTTCTCGTAGAACGTTGATGCAATATTACTTCATGGTTTGGGCCACGGTTTGGTGAAGCATGTTAATGCTTTGGGCTCCATGAGGAATTATAAGAGGCAGAGAGCCATGTCTTTTTTATACAATCTTTTTTTTTTTTTAACTTTCTTTTTCCATTTTCTGAAAGCAACGCCTTTATTGGGAAAATGAGAATATAGCAGCAAGCAATCAGGGACTGAAATTGCCTGCAAAATTTGAATAGAAATTACTTTCCTTAAGACATGACATACGACCTGGACCTCCCTTAACTTCTCCTTCAGGTGTTGTTGTAACTTATTGGACAAATTCCTAAGCTTCCATGGCACCCTGTTGCCATCCTGAACCACATGAAACAGCGTTTGAAGAAACGATCTCAACGATGATAGAATAGGAAACTGCCCCATTCTTAATAAACAGCTGAAAAAGCTCAAGTATTCATTTCAGCCTGGTTTAGAGTCCGTTTCCTCAACCAGCTTCAAGAATCCTCAGTAGGGTTTGGACTTCTTTTTTAACTGATCATGCCCGCCAGAATGCCAGACATTGGGTTCAACCTTTTCTGCGGAAAAAGAAGGCAAGATGCTCAGATGCTAGATTAGAAAAGAATCATTGCTTTTAGCCTATGATCCTGAGGACAGCTGCTATTATTTGTATAGCTCGAAAGAATGGAAATAGTAACCGAGTCTCTCCAAAAGTCCTCCTGCAATCAATTTTTGTTTGATTTAATAATTAACATGCCCTTTTGCTAGCTCATAGCAAAGCTAAGTAATTTGGTCCCAAGCCATAGGTAGCCATGTGGAAATGTTATCTAACTAAAGTTGAAGCCATTGCAATGATCCTTCGTAGTCTGAACTGCTAAACAAGACTAGCATTAACGTTATCTTTAGTTGACAAAAATTAAATACGGAGTAAATTGTCATGATCTTTTCCTTTTTTTTGGCCTGTAATTGTCATGATATTTCAAGCTCCCCAGAACGCAGAGGACGTAAGTTGTTCCCCTTGAACTTCAATTGCTTGAATCGGAAGATCCAACAAAGAGATGGAAAAGGCGTTGTGGTGCGCTAAAGGACTCGCAAAAGCTAAGAGAAAGGAACTTCAGCGCAACACTTTAAGGCTATGAGCCCATATTCTTTTGCTGCGAATCTTCACTTACAAGATTAAATATATAAATTAGTGTTGTTTATTCTGTATGTCCATTTGTTTGTTACAAAATAAAAATGTAATATGTGTCACATCCTTTTTTGTTAAAAAGTTTATATTTGATGTATAATCAGTACATAAATCTTATATATTTTCGGTAAACTTTATGTTATCATTTTATTAAAAAAATAATTATATAATTTTACAAACTCTTAAAAATAAATATACTAGTTTTATTTTTAATTTAACAAAATATTTTTTGCTTTTTTTCAAAAATTTACTCCTAAAGTTTTTTTTGTTTTTAATTTCTCACCCTTCCATTGCACCTTTCTCCAAAAAAAGAATAATAATTAGTTTTGCATAATACCTACCTCATCCTCTTTCAGCAACTTTAACACCTTGCGGCTCTGCAGCATGTATAGTTTGGAAACACAACTCGTTGGTAATGCCCTCATGAAGAAGTCTACTAATTCAACTCCACAATTATCGGTCCCATGCCCCAAAATTCCTTCTTTGATGCAAAAGATATATAAACCCTTATAAAACTTGATAATGGTCAATCAAAGACATTTCTACTAATTAATAAAGAATAGAATTTAGAAAAAGAAGTCTTGTGTTTATGGAAAGTAATTCTTCCATAGGTTTAGAGCTCCAGCATATATAGCTTTTGGCCTTTTGCCAAACTCAGTTTTACAAAAGGAAAAAAGAAAAGTGGGCTCAAGAACCTTTGTAGGATGATTGACATCAGTCGTAACTTTATGCACAATAAGTTTCTTTTGCCAAATTCCTGTGCTTTGGTAGTTAAATTCTTAGCCACCTAGCTGCTTTAATGCAAGCTTTTGTTATCTCCTCTACCAAAGGGAGATGCTCCTCAATTTGATGTTGACCTTATTATGCAATATCCTTACAAAGTTCTCCAGCTTGTTGCATGATACCAACAAATAAAAAGACTTAAAAGTGACGAGTAAAAGAAACCCAACAAACTGTCAAAATACCCTATATTTGACATTTGAGTTT